GTGTACAGGCGACTGTTGCCTGGAGTCCAACCAAGGAGGGCGGACTCGGCTCTAGCATTGAGCGCATTCCCAACACCAGCTTGCCCAGAAGTGGCAGACTCAACGTCACCAGAAAGGCGGAGATGAAAATTGGTGTGGGTGGCAATAACTGGTAGAATGTGTTGGAATCCTGAAGTCGTGTCTCAGTCAGGCAGCAGACATCAATTAAAAAGGGTTCCAAAGTGCGTGCTAGTCCCGATTGTTGTCCGATCTGCCGTAGAGTGCGCATATTTACTACTGCTAGCTTGAACCGCCTTTCACGTTGCAGAAGCGATGGCGGATCGAAGACCATGTGTCTGGTGGTTACATGTGAAGCACTGTGTGGCTGAGTTGGCGGATGTCGATTGGACGAATTCACTGGTGGAGACAGAGTTGTTCACCGTCAAGGAATCAAGTAATGCTGTGTGTGAATGATACAAAGGGTAGGTAAGTAATTGGGTAGCGTGTGATTGTAAAGCTAGTGCAGTAGCTGGAACGTAGAACATCATGAAAGTGAGAGCGTGCGTGTGTTTCCATGGTTCGTCAGTAGGCGAGATACTACCCGGTTGCCTAGACTGAGGTGAGGAGTCGTCTTAGGAGACTCCACCCCGAGTCTTTGGCTGTATAGGCTATCCAAAAGGCAGCGGAGCGAATTCAGGGAATCGCGCCCATTGGGAGGCAGTGACCGATTTTTCGGTTCATACGTCTTTCCTTTGGACAGATACCAAACTAGCAGCGAGTTCTAGAATTCAATGCTTCACCGGAGGGAAGCCAGGGACAGTGACCTTACTTAGTGGCGGGTCACATCCGCCATATCGCAGTGTTATTAAGCGGACATTTGTGACTTCTCATAGGGAGAACGCATGCCAAGCGAAAACCCACTGCATCCTAAAACACTGCCGCAGAACCATTTGCTGGAACGGGAAAAACCCGGAACACCCAGCTGGCTCCACGAGGAGGTTGTTCGGCAGGCCAGCCAGGGTAACAAAAGGAAGACAACTTGAAACAATTTACATATGCAATATTTAAATACAAATTGAAAACAATCGAAAAAAGCAAGTAACCCTCAACAGAAGAGTGAAAACTTGTAATATTAAGGGAAGAGTTTTGAATTGCAGTCAAAGGGCGTCAACTCGTTGTCTTAACTTTTTCACCGTTGCTGCCATCGCTAATTCCACAGGCTGTGCGTTCCAACTACCTGTAACCCTGCGCGATCACCGAAAATCAGCTTCGGTGGATGAGCTCGATGAGTTGGCACTTGAGTTGAATGGAACACTCCAGACAAATCAGGGTCGATGTGACCTGTGTATACGATAAATGAGATCCAACGAAAGTGTGTCCAACTTGAGTAATCTCACAGAGTACGACACCTTTTTGACTCATATACCATTTTTGTCCTAGAGCACAAGACTAGTTCAACTACCCTCCTGTCTCTGGCTAGGCATGGGAAACAAGTCTGCACGTAGTATTCTAAGCGCGGCCTAACAAAGGCTGGAAACGGTCTTACAAACATTTCGGCGGTCATGATCCCGAATGATTTGCGGATTATCCACAACATGCTGAGTCCTTTACAAGGAGCTGCCGTCCACTTTTTGCCGACAGCACGACACCTAGGTCAGCTTGAAGTGGAATCCACGGCACTTCGTTTCCACCAATCAAATAATGTCAGTGGATCTCTATATGCAAGACTGAACATTTGACGAGATTTATGCGTAGCTGCCTCAGAACGGACCAGTCCCACAATCCATTCAAATCATTCACTGTGAACCAGCATTTTAGTCATCCGGAAACATTAAGGATGGCGCTCCATGCTCCACTTCCGCTAAGCAACTTTGTCAAGTGACGAAATGTGAGTCTTTTATGAACTGTGTAGAGTTGGCTCAAATCCAATCTGCAGATGTTGGATATGGGTTCAGTCCGCAGACAGTTCGCTACTAGCTTGATAAACATTTTCTGGAAGACCTGTTATGTGAATGTGGCGGTCACTTTATCGTGTATTACGTACCTTCATCTTTGCTGATCGTTATTTGGTGCACTACTATTGAGTAGTATGTGTAGAAATGAGGGGGCGCAAGGCAAGTTGGTAAATCGTGGATCGCCACAAATGAAGGAGGCGTGCTACACAAATCAACAGGACGAAGGACATTTGATGTAGAAACCTACCTGCGCCGATACGTTGTGAAGGAAGAGGCGCAACGGAACGTAAAATCGGAAGTGCGCAAATTGACCCAAAATTCCATATTCGAACTGTTATAATACCTAGACGTAGGTTGTCTAACACACAACTCGTTTGCACTGCGTTGCGTTCTCAGCATTTGTTGTGACGTTACCTAAAAACTACTCGCAGCTTATACTATTCTACCAGTGATTGAATCGCATCAAACATGTTGAATGTTTCCTTGTTTCATGTGACCACTTGAACCCCCTATACCTTTCTACAATAAACTTCGCTTTTTGTGTTCGAGCCGCAGGTTTTAATTCACTATTCTATAAATGGGGCCCACTGCCTCTAGGAGTTAACCAATCGACAGCGAGCAGAGGGAGTCGTGACTCGTGGGGTCGGTCAACTGGTGTCTTCTCGCTTACCCTTGTCCCGATCGCTCTCCATTCAAATTGACTTGGTTCGTTGGAGTATTTTGATGCAGTGGCTCTCTCAGCTCCTCCCGTTGTGTGGGTCTCTAGTTCACACGATCTTGCGTCAGGCTTAGGACTGATCTTCTTCCGGGGCTCCTAAAACGCTGTTGAGTCTGTCGTACACCTTTATGGTCCAACGAACGGCACAAGGTACTAAGTACCGGACCTTCATACCAATCAGATACTACCAAATGCCGGTGATTTTTCGGTGTTTAGTTTTGCCCTTATTTGCCTCCGTAGCTTGGCCATTTACTATACATAACTGTATTCATTTTAATCATGTATCACTTTATGTCTCAGCCGTTCATATCTTTTGGTTACTCATTGCTATTCTCGAACAATCCTCTTTTTGCATTGTTCTTGTGTAGGTTAGTACGTAGTGTTTCCGCCCCGTACTGCAAGTGACAGGGGGCGGAATTATAGCTACGTCGATTGTTCGATACCGGATATAAAGGGCAAAATGTCCGGTAACCTGAGGGTTGAAGACTTTAGTCTTCCTCTTCATGACCAACAACACCTTTGCACCATGTGTCACACTTTTGCAAACGTTCTTTCCAGCAATCCCCTACTTATCCAATTGTGATCACTTTCATCACATTTACCCCAGTGTCCCAAACGATCATCCATTTCATCGAAAACTAATGTGCACCTTACCCTGAGTCGACTATGTGGCCTTCACACGCCTATTCTGCCGGAGAAAATAGTCGAGATGAAATCGGTGTTGGAATTCAAGAGATTCCTCGACGCCCACTTTGCGAATTACAGGTATAAGGAGCGTACCGCACCCGGGTAAGATGTGGTGTAGCTGTAATATGCTTCCACCACACAGGTTCCTGATCTAACCACCATGGAGCAACACAGATTTATATCCTCGCTCTCTAATTTGTGTATTCATTATTCAGTCAAGGCGAAACTTTTACTACCGTCCCTGGCGTAGTAGTAGTTGCTACATCACTGTATAAGGGAATAGATTATTATGCGACCGACTCACCGCTGAACGTGCGTGCATGCTAAACGCGCATTTATGCACTCATTGTTTTTTCGCTGTTTTTCAGCCGCATGTTGTCACCGATCACTGGATCTATACTTATTCGTCTTGCTTTTAGAGGCTCTACTTCGTGTTACTACTTTCTCGAGTACACTACGGTGCATTCTACGTTTACCATGAATTCCAACTTCGGGGCAGAGTTTCATCGATCTCCAAGCGCAAATGTTGTGTAACTCTAACTTATACTTCACCCCAGGTCAACAGGACAAAGAAACACCAATGAGGCGGACGCTAGCCCACGGAATGCAAGAGCTGACTACACGGGCAACTCATGTGGACTCATTTATTCCCGACGTTCGAATCAGTAACTGACCAATACTCACTTAGATCTGGAAGTTGCCCACGTACATCGCACTGATGATGTCGTCTAGCCTGACGATGAAGCGTCTGCAGCCAAATCTCCCAGCTCGGAGAACAGCCGAATACCCTCACAAATGTCCTTGTTAACCCTTCGCTTTCCAGACACAAGTGACTCACTAGCAGTACCAACAATCAGTACAAGAGAGTATTAGGGTGATTTAAGTGGTATATGTTAAAATTCCTCACATCTAAACTAAGTCAGACAGTCGTCACACACCCGTGGTCTTAACCACGAACTGATAACAGTCGAGCTGCAGATTCTAGCCCCACAGAGTTCAAATGGAATACGCACTGCCGACGATTCCCGAAAGGATGAAACTGTCGGGCAGTGCTTTTCTGAACGTGTTACGGCTGTTTGATTTAATCTGGATGTGATGATTTGCAACTTAATAACTAGTACCTTACTCAAGCGTGCGGAAACCAGTGCTCATTATTGCCACATTACATTTTGTGTAGATGTGAGCATGCTCTTCGGTCTGTGCTATCTTTGTGTGAGTAGCTTCTTCCTTGGATGCACTTAGCACTGCATGAGGTTCCCTGAACTATGGTTTAATGAAAGATCGCGAAGTTGAGCTTCAGGTTGGAGTTTTGGGTGGGGATCTTTCTAGTTAGATGTTTGCTAAACAACTCTTGTATGTTTCATGACAGTTTTCTTCGTGCTGCCGCTGCTGTGTTCAAGAACGATTTAAGCTTGGATTTTAGGAAGCTCAATTTTGCACTGTATCACCGAAGCAGTGAGTTTCTTCCTGTATACTGGTTCGTACGATACTTGACCATCGATCCATGCTGCGATGCATCTTGACCTTACTTCATTCGGATCTAGCTCTCTTTCCTAGCATATCGATGGGATAGCATACTTACAGTATGGAGCTATTGTCTCTGTTCCACCACATGCTTTTTCCCTGGATGTTTCATCCTTTTCTTCCTTCTTTGTTTGCAGCATTGCCGCCACTGCATAGGGAGGTCCGGATTACCCGTTCATCATTTCAATCAACCCCGATGGTCCCGCTTTGTCGGTCAACTCTTCTACTCACTTTTGTGCAGCTTGTGTTTGTTTCTGTTCAAATTATTGTTGTACCAAAAATTAACCCGCCCAGAGCAATCAACTTTGTCTTACGGTGTTGTGTTTTTGCCGCTCGTTTGTTTTATGCATTTACTCCTCGTGTCTATTTTTGTCACCTTGTGTTCTTCTTGCTGTCCTTAAGACAGGACAATTCATCGACGAATGGGGAAGGCGTCATTTGTGACTCTTCATCCTCTTCCTGTGCATGGCCCATATGCATTTCGAATGGATCATCTGTCTATTGCCTCCGAATCGGCTGCATTTATCACCTGGTCTTTACTCTTCTATTCCATTCGATAAACTTATCGAATTGATCACTGGTCCGTTCCATTTCGTGCATCTACTCTCTGCGTTGTGTTACCAATAATAATATTATTAATAAGATGGGTAATTCCCGAGTATCCACGAGTGGCTATTGGTCGCCAGCACAAACGCGTCGCAGAAAGTGCTTACATTTTCGAGTTATCTTACAGATTCTGAAATTTTGTCAGTTACGACGTTCTGCGTTCTTTCTACTAGCTATTTGCCCAGAAAGAGTGATAATCAGCGTTCTTTCCCTCTCACACTTGCCGGCATTCATCTTTGATTACCTTATCCGTTGGTGCCTGTTATTTGTGCATAACGGAATGAACAGATTAATATGATATCGCCTCATCGCTGACCGAACGAAGTGCGTGCTTGCTAATCGCGCGTATATGCACTCTTGGTTTCTCAGCCGCATTTTGTCACACATCACTAAATCTATACTTATTCGTCTTGTTTTTACAAGCCCTACCTCATGATACTACCACCTCCCCAAGTACACTACAGTGCATCCTACAGTTACCCTGAATTCTAACTTCGGGGCAGTGTTTCATCGATATCCAAGCGCAAAACTTACGTAACTCCAACCATCGGAGACATAGTTTGGTCTCACTCCATAGAGCATTTCAACGGCTTTCGAATGAACTCTCACTCATTCAAGCCCAACGTTGTTTGGAGCAGCTACAGGGTAATTTGCGCTTCTCTCAGCGAACCCCTTAGTCTCTCGGCCAGTTCACCTTGGGGCGATTCATGAGCCTGATCACGAAAATTCTCTATCAAACCCTCGTGTAATCTGCCTCATGAGCAAGCTGACGCGTCGAGCGGCAAACCGGATAGGATAGTTTGCAATCGTGCGAAATGCACGGTGTGACCTTGACATCGACGTCAGAAACACGAGAGCAACTGCCAACCATCAAGGGTAAGACATTCTATAGGTTCGTAACGTTCGTTCAACAAGCGCAATGCCTAACGTGCTTCAGGCTAAAGACGTATAAATCATTTGCCAAACTTATAATAGGGGGTTTTTCGGATCATAACCGTTGCAAGATTTTCTATGCGAAGTGCGTCCTGGTGAAAGCTATCCAGTCCAAGTTATAAAGTCAACCAAATCTTTCCAGTTCTGTGTGGAATGCACGTCTATCCCACTAATAAAAAGCGTGCTCCTGTTACCCCAGAAATCAACTACTGGCCAAGGAAACGGTGACAACCAAAATCACCAAAGTTGGGGTAACCATAGTGAACTGGCAAACCAAGGTCTCCCCAATAAGTGCTGCTTTAAACCAGAAGAGAACAACTGATTTCGCCGCAAGCAAAACGACCCCAATAGCCCAGCAAATCTATTACTGTTCCAATACTACAGGCGGCTAAACCGATTAATTCGATCGGAGTAATTACGCCATTTTCCTTTACTAACATCCTTCGTGTATCAGCTATCATCCGACACTCACCGGACTCACACCCACCATCCCATTGCGTGGGCAATGGCTAGCAGCCGGTAGAACTCAACATAGCGGGAAAGCTAAAGGCACCTACGACGCAGAAACTGACGCTTTGGAAGGGAGGGAGGTGGGAAACTTGTTAGACTTGGGGGAGACCAGCGTGGTCCAACTCTAATGGACGGCAATTTAGACCTTACTAAACGGACCTCAGCCAGTACACAGCGTGCCGGGCGCGCACTCACTGGTCAATGCGGTGTCTTAGACATGTGCTAGAGCAAAGTCAGCACAGTCCCTGAAGGAAGGGGAACCTAGGCTCACAGAGAATCTGTCCGAAACGCCAGGTTCAAACCTGAAGTGAGTCTGGGGCGCAATCCACCCCGTTGTGTGAGTGAGCAAAGAAGTGGTCTGTTTGAGGCTAGGGTGCAGATGATGCACGGAAGACCAGAGTGAATAATGTTGGCTTCGTACTCCAAAGTGCCTTATGCAAGAGGCGCAGATAGGTTGCCTATTTTGATGGAGCCTCAGGCTATTTCGATCGGATTGTTAAAGGCGCAATACAAGCAACTGTTTGGTCTGGAAGTCAAGTTGTCAGTAACATAAGGGGCGGAACGATATCCGTCACAGCGGATTGGATACAATTCGCTCCACGTAACATTTGCTTTATGGGGTGAAATTTCACTTTTGTGACGGATCCTCAGGTATAAGCCGAACGTGAGGTAGAAGATAATCATATTCCAACCAATTCGCCCCCATGCGAACCACAGAGATCAAATCTGATCGTGATAGACAGAACAGCTGCCGGGCGGAATGATATAATCACTAATTTAGGGATGGATTAGGCATGTGATAGATGCTTGATTGCAGCCTTGCAAATTCCTTTCAAATGACATGTTAGGCCGGAAGCTATATTACTTTCCTTCTCGTTCTACACGTAAGCAGACTTGCCACATTTCGTTGCGAAGGAATTAGATTACAAGCAGCCGGTCTCATGAAATTAGGGATATTGGCAGTTGATGCTCTACGGTTCTCCAGAAAACGGAGTGTGGTCGCTGGTTTAGTGCGGGGAAAAAGCTTGGGATTATCCTGTCTCACGATGTGTTGAGTCGATTTTTTAATGTAAAATGAAAAACAACCATAAATAAGGAAGAACCCAAAGCAATAAACCTGCCGAGCAAAGTTTTGTCAACCTGCGTCGTTCATAAGTGGTTTAATGCAACTTCAAATGTCACCGCTTTCGATTTCCCCAGAGAAGCGGGTGTGGGTTGATACGGTTTTGTTTTCTGAATGTGAGTATCATTCAGGTGTGTTGTACTTTGGTGTAACGCGAATAGCGCATTGTAGACACGAGATTTGAATCCAATGAGTGTAGAAGCTGAAATAACAGGTTCTGGTAGTGAATTGCACATGTGGCGAACATGTAGGGAGAATAACTTCCTTATACAACCCAACCGGGTGCCAGTTTGAGTCCGTGGCCTCACAGTCTTGTTCTGACTGAGTTTTGGCGAATGCTAGCAAGAGTAATTAAGGTGATCATGATTACGTTCCTGAGCAAACACCGATAGCGTTCTCTGAAGACTCCTAAAGGATTCAGGCGCTGTTCGTAAGGTAAGTGGCATTGCCCTTTGACATAATTGTTTACCCGATGTTTGAAAATTTCCAAGCCCGTGAGATCTTGCTTCAACGATTTTTGAATCGCATATTCCACCTGCGGATGCATGCATGCAGAAAGCAGCTGTGGAACACAATGGACCCAATTGACCAAAAGCCTTCGTTTAGAGCCCAAAGGTTTTCGATGCTATTTTTCAGGTTGCTCCGACCGGACTAGTTTTCATGCAACAGTACACAGAAATCTTTTGTCCGAGGACAGTGCTGTCACTTATAGGTGTAAAGCATTTGGCGTTGTAGATGCAGTGCCCCACATTTACTCACGTTGAACTGAAGACGATTGTGGAGTAACCAGTCATGACTCTTGTCGAGGGCATGTTGAACCTGTGTGCAGTCTGTTGGAGCTATGAGCCACCGCCGAGGCTCTGTGTCGTTTCCGTAAAGCAAACAGGGTGAAGTGATTACTGTCAGCTAGTCACTTCAACCTTGAATTACGGCCCTAACGTGTGTTCTACTCGGTTTGTGTTAGCTATTTATGTGTTGCATTTAGCCTGAAGATGAATAAACGAAAACGGGCTATTCTGCTATACCGAATTTTCATTATTTTTATTTTAATTTTTCACCCGTTGCAAATGGGGAACATCAGGGCTCCAATATCGAGCCTTGTGGCTTACCTATTCCACGTGTATTGATGTTACTACTGAATCGCGTGACTTCACTTCCAGCCGCGTGTGCAAAATGAAATTACTGTTATACTCTGGGAGAGGGTTACCAATGCCGTACCCCCGATGATTGGCTAGAAGGGTGCGATTGGCCAACCGATCACACGCCTTAGAGAACTCGAGGTAGACAACATCAAATCCTACACCAACATCCACTGTTTCTATCCAACTGTCCCATGTTAACAGCAGATGGTTAGTGCACGCTGGGTCCCGGCGGAAGCTGTGTTGCTCTTGCGCGATGTATTCAACTTCGTCAAGGTATGACATGAGTAGGCTGGACAGATGGCAGATGACGGGATGCAGGTCGGTTTCTAATATGAGAAACACGTGAAGCAACATACCGTTTTGATAGCTTGGCATTGAGGCTACATTTGGGTTGACGGCTTATGCTGCTACATCAGGTGGCGCGGAGCTTCGTATATGGAGTTACGTTCTACTTGTTATTGCGATATCGGTCTAATGAATCTTCGTCTCTGACGCCGAACAGAATCCGTGTAATTAGGCGTGGGCATTTGCATTTCCAAGGTGGATGTTGGGTACCGAAATCCAGTAAATCGTTGAGCTTACGGCGTCTTTTCAATTAGTCGAAGGCTCCTTTCTCAGTCACAATATTAACCTGAGTCCACGAGTTCAAAATAGCTACACACTATAGTCGACTTGATTCTCGAAATCCTTTTCTCCCTTCTGGTATCCTTAACATGCAACGCCCCTTCAGCTCATGTCATTTGGCCTTACCATTAACGCTTTGCATAAAGCGCCTTGACAATACATTCTCGAGATGAGCTTTGCACATCAGGACGACTTTTGCGACTCACACCCTACTCTCCACTTCTGAACCCAATTTAAGGATTTGGAGTGTTATTAAGGCCCACGTTTAATAAGCCAATATTAGGCGACACTGCGAAATGCTCCTAGGAGATCCAGCTGGCCTTCAGAGCAAGTCATAGTGGAAGAGGCAGTTTTTGGGCAGGTTGTGGCAGAAGTGTGCGCTTGCGTGACACTGAGCCACTATCAACAAATGGTGCAGCATATAATACAAAACTATGTTGCTGTTTACACCTACTCTCTGTAA